TGGCGCCCCGGCCTCCTCGGCGCCCTCGACGCCCCCAGCCTCCTCGGCACCCCCGATGCCCCCGGCCCCACCGACGCCCGCGGCCCCCCGGCGCCTGTGGCCGGTCCGGTCACCCGCGCTCGTACAGGCGTTTTTCGCCCAAGCTCGCGCTACGGCTCAGATGACTACGTCCATGCGGCGTCCACCTCTGAGCCGTCGCCATTGCCGTCCTCCGTTCGAGCCGCTGTTCGTGACCCGCTCTGGATGGTTGCGATGCAAGAGGAGTTTGGCGCCCTGTTGCGCAACCGGACGTGGCAGCTTGTTCCCCGTCCCCGGCACGCCAACGTGATTAACGGGAAGTGGGTCTTTAAACACAAGCTCCGTCCTGATGGTACCCTTGATCGCAATAAAGCGCGTTGGGTCGTTCGTGGCTTTCGACAGCATGCTGGCATCGACTTCACCGACACCTTCGCTCCGGTCGTCAAGCCCGGCTCGATACGCACGGTTCTCCACCTTGCGGTCTCCCGTACTTGGCCGGTGCACCAGATGGACGTCTCCAACGCCTTCCTCCATGGTCACCTCGAGGAGCAGGTCTTCTGCCAGCAGCCCACTGGGTTTGTTGACCCGGCGCTTCCAGACCACGTGTGCCTGCTTTCGCGGTCCTTGTACGGGCTCAGGAAGGCTCCGCGCGCTTGGTACCAGCGCATCGCGGCGTTTCTCCATCAGCTTGGGTTCCGCTCTACCCGCTCGGACGCCTCGCTCTTCGTCTATCATCAGGGCTCTAACATGACCTACTTGCTGCTCTATGTCGATGACATCATCCTGACGGCATGTACGGCTGGTCTCCTCAGTCAGCTCACGGCTCATCTTCGCGCTGAGTTCGCCATCAAGGACTTGGGTCCTTTGCACTACTTCCTCGGTGTCGAGGTGGTGCGCCGTCCGGATGGCTTCTTCCTTCATCGGCGGAAGTACGCTCACGAGCTCCTGGAGTGCGCCAGCATGCTTAACTGCAAGCCCGCCGCTACGCCTGTTGATACGAAGGCCAAGCTTTCTGCCACAGATGGTTCTCCTGCTTCGGATGCTGCTTTCTATCAGTCTATCGTTGGTGCTCTTCAGTACCTCACTCTGACTCGACCGGAGATCCAGTATGCCATGCAGCAGGTGTGTCTTCATATGCATCCTTCTCGAGACGTTCACTGGGCTGCCGTCAAGCGGATTCTCCGCTATATCTGTGGCACTATGGATCTTGGCGTCACGCTTTACGCCTCCGCCGACACCGCCTACTCCGATGCAGACTGGGTGGGCTGCCCTGGCACTCGTCGCTCCACTTCGGGCTATTGTGTCTACCTTGGACCCTCACTTATCTCGTGGTCGTCCAAGCGGCAGCCTACGGTCTCTCGTTCCAATGCTGAGGCTGAGTATCGTGCGGTGGCCAATGCCGTCGCCGAGTGTTCGTGGCTTCGCCAGCTGCTTCAGGAGCTCTCTTGCCCTGTCGATCGTGCCACGGTGGTCTACTGCGACAACGTCTCGGCGGTCTACTTCTCCGCTAACCCGGTGCATCATCGACGGACCAAGCATATTGAGTTGGATATTCATTTTGTTCGGGAACAGGTGGCCCTTGGGCATATTCGTGTTTTACATGTCCCTACTTCCCAACAATTTGCCGATATTATGACCAAGGGCTTGCCTACGGCGTCATTTGAGGAGTTCCGG